GATATTGGCGTCTTCTTTCAATGTCCGCCGTTCTTCTACTTTCAAACTGGATTGCTAGCTCAAATAACTTTTCCAGTGTAGTCGGATTTCTTAATTCAATAAAGTCTTGCACTTGGGGCAGTAACCTCGGCAAAATCACTTGAATTATCTCAGGATCCGGACGGTTTCCATACAAGAGTTTGAAGACGTGAATTTTTCTTAAAATAAAGCTTGAGAGATTTTCGATTCTTTGCTGATATATGCTGAAAAGTTCCGTTTCTAATTTCGCACGATCCCTTACGAACAGGGAAGGCTTTTACTAGGGCAGTCTTGAAATTTTCGTAAGTATAGGTGGGACTTCCTGCTTGACCCAAGAGACTTCTGCCTATACATTTGAACCAGTTAAGCGCTTGGCCCCTCAAAGCGCTGGTAGCTAAGGTAACTTTTTGAAACTCGTGCACGGGGTAGAGCATGAAGTGGTCATCCAATTTTTCCAAAAAACTGGTTACCGGTGAGTTTCCATTAAATGTTGCTTCTGGTTTCATCATCGAAGCGCGCATGGTCTGGACGATGTAACCAAATCCTTCCAGGGCGGCAGCTGGCATTTCTGGATTCTGAGCCGCTTCTGCAGGCAGCACAGGTTCTTCTTGAAACTCGGCCATGGTTATTCTTCTTCGTTGGGCGCCACTATCAGGTTCAATGTTCCGTCTTACTTTCTTCGGGAACATGCAAGGACCTGACTCGGAACAGAGAGCTTACTAAAGCTATGTTCAATAACTGTGGGAAGTAGACAGGATACACAAGAAGGGTATACAAAACCCTTTATTTTTCTCTCTTTACAATAATTTCTTCCGTACTTCGGAATACAGAGACCCACTACTTGTGGTCTAACGTAAGAATATAAAAATATAAACTAAACTCTAACTTAACTTTGGAATAATAAACGTGGAAGATTGGCCTTATATTAACAGGAAGCCGTATGTAGTACAGAGAACTGTTAACACTACAATACGTTTAAAATTATCAAGAGGATTAAACCTCTGGCCTGGAAGGCAACCAGCAACTGAGTAAAACTTCTAAGGTAAGCGGCCTGCTTCGACTAACTCCTTCCTCTCTCTCGCTTGGCAAAAAGCCACAACTTAAGTACTTGGCGTTCGCCAGACAAATTTGCATAAATAAGTTAACGCTTTAATTCTGGCCGGAAGTAGAAAATAAGAAGTGATAGTAAAGATTTAAAATAAAATAAACGTTAGTAAAACTTAAGATCCTTACAAGCACGATAATATAAAAAGAAATTTCTGCCGGAAGGTAGAAAATAGAAGTGATAGTAGTTTGTTGTTGTTTAGAAAACTACCTGTTGTTGATTGTAGCGAATTCGCGGATTAGCGTTCTTTAGCTGTTTTGAATTACGTTCTATTGGACATTTGAGTAGTTAAAAGAAAACTACTGTGAGATATTGTAATACTGCGTGATAATTTGAGAAAATTTAAGCATTTTGTTGTGATAATAATAAATTTTTGTTCATTTTTCATCGGACTTGTGCATTCATTTAGTAACGAATCCGTACGCACGCAACAATTTTTGGTGTCAGAAGTGGGATTTGAATGCCAGTAACAAGAGCGATGGAAAGAGCAGTTAAGGCAATTGATAACAGCCTTTGCCTCGTTTAAAGAAGAAATGAAAGAAGAGATGAAATCTAGCCAAGGAAATATGGAAGGGGCCGTCAACTCTGTTAAGGACGAAATGAAAGCCGTTCAAGCTGGTCAAGAAAAGATTGAAGCAGGTCAAGAAGAAATGAAAAGAGAGATTACCTGCATAATAGAAAATAAATTTGAAGCTATGGAAGGCAGAATTGACACAGTTGAAAATAAAGTTGGACTAATTGAAGAAGAAAGAGTTTCTTCGGTGAAAGAAGAAATAGAAGAAAGAGTTTCTTCTGTAAAAGAACATATAGAAGGGAGAGTTTCTGCTGTGGAGGAACGAATTGAAGGAAGAGTTTCTGCCGTCCAACACCAAATCGAACAACAAATTGATGAGAGAGTTTCTGAAGTTGCCAAAGAAATGGATACTTTAAAGAAATTCGTAGCGTCGGCAGGGAGCAGGAGTGATGATTTTAAATTCTTACCAATGCCTGCTCGTCCACCTCTGAAGCTATCCACATATGATGGGAAGACCTCCTGGTAGGTGTATAAGACACAATTTTCTATCGTGGCGGATGCGAATGGATGGGATTCCCAAGCTAAGGCCTGTCATCTCGCCGCTTCTCTAAGAGCCGACGCAGCGGATATCCTTCAGACTCTTCCCGAAAACAAAAGGTTAGATTTCGAAGCTCTGTCCGGCGCCTTGGAGTTGCGCTTTGGGGAGAAGTGTTTAAAAGACTACAGCAGGCTCCAATTAAAATCTCGTCAACAGAAGCCTACCGAAACACTTCAGGAGCTCGCCGCGGATGTTGAAAGGCTGTCCCATCTCGCCTTCGGAATGCCCGACAGAAACAAGGGAAATCCTGTCGCTGCAATATTTCATCGACGGCATCCGGGATCCTGAAATACAGAAAGCTCTTCGAATGGCAGATGTAAAGGACATTAAAAAGCGCTCTGTTGTACGCCATGAAGTTCGAGGCAGCCCAGCAAGCAACTCTTAGAGATCGCTACCCAGTCAGAGCTGTGCGAGTCCACGACCCAGGGGACCAATTGATGGCTCGTTTAGATGATTTATCCAGACAAGTCGATGCTTTGATACGGAGTAGCAGTGAGAACAAAGTGGCTGTAAAATGCTGGAGATGTGGTTCTGAAGGTCACCTGCGACGGCATTGCAGAACACCCCAGGGCACGGAAAATAAAACGGATGAGTTGACAAGACCAGTGAATGCTTTAAGACGGAATAGTGGTGAAACGAAACCGACCCTAAAGTGCTGGAATTGCGGTGTTGAAGGCCACCTACGAAGGAACTGCAGAACTCCCCAGAGCACGGAAAATAAAGCATACGATTTAAACAGACAATTAAATGCCACGGGAAGGAAAAGGACTGACAAGAAACCAAAGTGCTGGAACTGTGGAGCTGAAGGCCACATACGAAAGAAATTGCAGAACACCCCAGGGTACGAAAATTGAGACCAATTTCTGAGCAACGACGCAGGAAACAAAATTAATGACCATATCAAGGAACGGAGGTTGCCAGATAATGAAAACCCTGTTTTAAAGCGCTTAAGATCTCTATAGTGAGTGGCAACAATAACGGACTGTCCATCAATGGGAATATCGATGGAGTTCCTTGCAATATGATCATTGACACAGGAGCTAATGTTACCATCATTAGGAAAGATTTAGCTGAACAGTTTAAAGATAAAACTTATTTGGACGCCATCCTATGTTACCCTTCAGACTGCGTCTGGTGATAAGATCGACATAGCTGGGAAGTTAAACCTGAAAATCACGTTTGGAAGTGCCGCCTACCATCACACGGCATATGTGGCGGATATTACAGATCCATGCATACTCGGATTGGACTTTTTAAGGAAATACAATTTTTCCTGCATCTGATGGCATGACTATCCATCCTCAAAAGGGATCCTCGCCTGGAAATGTCGACGCCTTGTCCGAAAGATCGAGCTCGGGAAGCTGCCGAAATCATATCAGGGTCGAAAAGAAACGCAAGACTATCAGCTATTCTCCATCTCAGAAGTTCTTCGGTCAAGACCTTCGTCTGCCTTGTGACCGCCTGTTTAGTCTCCCTACGGATGCGCCTTCATCGCCTGAGGAACACATCCAAGATGTCAAGGCCCGTTTTGAAGTGATGCACCGTTCCGCACGAAAGCGAGTGAACTTGGCGACGGAGAAAGTGAAGACCAGATGCGACACAAGAGCTACTAGACAGAGATCCAACAAAGGAGACAAGGTGTGGTTGTGGAACCCAATTCAACGAAAAAGACTGAGCCCTAAATTACAGTCACCTTCGGATGGTCCATATACAGTGCTGAACACGAATGACGTCGTGGTTCGGATCCGTGAGTCTTCGAACTCTTACGACAGGTTAGCTCATTACTATGGCCATAGTACGTAATGTAAATAATTGTAAATAGTATCAGACCATGGTCCTTTTGTTTATAAATGTGTTTGATTTGTATTCAGTATTTGATTTGTATTTAGTATTTGATTTGTATTTAGTATTGTTTTGTATTTAGTATTTGATAGCATTTGATTTGTTTAAGTTTAAGTTATTTATTGCATTTATGTTTCTATTGTTTGATATTGTAATGTAATGTTTATGCCTCAGTTGCATTTATGCCCCAGTTGTAAGTTTAGCTTCCTGTCCAGGGATTGTACTGCCCGGGACGTGCAGTCCTTGGGAAGGGGGCCAGTGTGTTACGAATTTGGTATTTAAAAAGCTAATGTTAGTTCAATTATAAATTAAATGGTTTTATTTCTCGCGCAGCGCAGTGCAGCGCGTGACGAATATTAAAAGAAAGCTAAGCCGGAAAAATTAAAAATACAAGAGCGCGTGCGTTAAATAAATAAATATCTCTTTTTTTGATTTCGAGAAAGTACTGGAAAACTCTAGCGTGTGATTTTAAAATGTTATAAAAGGAGGAAAACATCTCAGTTCGTAGTAGTTGCTTAGTTTGTTGTTGTTTAGAAAACTACTGTTGTTGATTGTAGCGAATTCGCGGATTAGCGTTCTTTAGCTGTTTTGAATTACGTTCTATTGGACATTTGAGTAGTTAAAAGAAAACTACTGTGAGATATTGTAATACTGCGTGATAATTTGAGAAAATTTAAGCATTTTTGTTGTGATAATAATAAATTTTTGTTCATTTTTCATCGGACTTGTGCATTCATTTAGTAACGAATCCGTACGCACGCAACAATATTGTATTTTGCAGTAAATAATAATTTGTATTTCAATGTCTTGTGTTTTTTTTTTAGTTATCACTATCATAATGACTTCGAATTATGTCCTATACATACAAATGTTTGTAAAATACTTTAAGGGACATACATAAATTCTTATTACTTTTATTTCAGAGAGAAGAATTTGCATTTGTAGGAAACTCTAAAATTGTTTTGCAACTCAGGTTCTCTACTTTTGAACTCGACTAATTTAACAGAATTTCACTTCGCATTGCAGTTTGTGATTTTATCAAAATCAAGAAATATTGCTATAAAGTTGTTGTCATTGTGAAAGATGTACAATAGTAAGCGCAATTTTGCTACTATTATTGCTCTATCGTTATTCAAATCTTCTGTAATTTTTCATGCCTGAATTCGCTTTATAAGTATTATAAAATCTATCAGTCCTTTCTTTTTCTTATATTATTTTGCATTCATCATCTTATTGTCTATTTTTTATTCCACTGTTATTATCTTTACAATCCTTTTTATTTTCATTATTATTTAATTTTCTGTATCATTATCATCATCTATTATGTTATCATCGTCTATTATTATACTTTTGCTATTAATAATTGTATTATAACATACAGAGTGTATTTTAATTCTGCATATTTTTGGCTGTTAATTTAGTAAATTCTTATTATTGCATCATAATTATTGCTGTCATTGTATTACTGTAAGATTAAAGAAAATATTGTTCTTATTATATTTCTATAAGATTTAACAAAAGATAAGTCTTCTTAGCTGGATAAATTAGCCCTTGAAACTTCAAAAATATATTGCAGAACATTATGAAATATACGTGAAGTTCTAAAAGTCATCAGAAATAAAGAAATATTCTATATATTTATGATAAATTTCAAAGACCTAGGATAAAAGATATAGAACATATTTTTAGAGAAAAGAATTTACGTAATCGAATAACACCTTATGAAAGTGATTTCTACTTAATTTTCTTGCAAGCGGTTATAAACACTGGCACGCAGAAACCTTGGATTTAACGTAAGGTTGTAAAGACCTTATTTTGTATTAATCAATTATTTTTATTTTAAGAAACTTTCTTTTCCCTTCTGATTTTAATTTCCAGCCAGAATGCAAATTTAAATGACGTTTATGCAATTCTCAATAAGTTCAGAAATAGTATTTAGGTACCACAATTGAAGAGTTCGCAGTAGAAGAGTTAGTTACGAGTAGAGCGGGTTACGCCAGCATCTTCCAGATAGCTTCTAGTTAGATTCTTCGAGACGGTGTTGGTTAAGCCGAGAACGAGGTTATGCCGCGTGCTTGCAAGTAGCTCTGTAGCTGAATATTTGTGCTAGCCACTTAATTTAGATTATATTGATATGCTAGACTCGGCTTTGCTGTGTGCAGCCGATAAAGCGGATTTAGATTGTACTAGGAGCCAGTCGCGTAGTTAAAATTTAATTCACTCTGATTGTACCATACTATTTTGTGTTTAAGCTTACTAAGCCACAAGTGGTGGTTCGTTGTAAGCACCGAGTGTGTGCATGTTCTGTTCAGTTTAGTTAAAATAAAAAAGGTTGTTATAACCGTCGTCGGCAGTCATCTGTTTTTTCAAGACAGCGAGAATTCGCTGTCTCGTCTTCAGTAGGGTCCGCATTTTATGCTCCCAAAAAGAACATGACTCTAAAAGGTGGTACTTTTTTTAATTAATTTTTTATTTTTTTCAGATTCTAATTTTTAGGGATGAAACTGGAAAGCATGAGTCTCGTTTATATAGCAAAGTGAAGCGTAACTTGCTAAGTAAATAAAATGTGTTATTTCTTCAAACTGTCCTTAGTTAACGATTTTTCAGGCTAAATTATTAGAAGTGAAACTGAAGAAATGTCAAAGTTAGTTTTACTACCTTAGTTTTATGGAATAAAAATGAAATCATATTGATCATTTTGCGCTTAAAACTGACAACCAAACAATTACCTCAAGTCTATACTAAAGCCTTTGTGTATTTTCACAATCACATTTTCTCAATGTCAGAAGACTGTTACAAGGTTTACGAGGCCAATGTAAATGGAATCCGTTTAGGGACTAACCGATGATCTCATCATAGAATTGTAAAGTGTAAGAAAAAAAATTAAATACGCTCCCTGAGTTACTCCCCTCTAGCAGCTTAAAGCTATAGAGGGAACTGAGTTTTTACGTAGTATTAAGTCTGAGGCCGAAGAGGAAGAAAAACCTTCCGTTACTGCCAGAAATTGGGGTAAAATGAAACTACAAACATACTTGTGTAGGTGACAGTAAGGCATTACGTCATACTACTCAGAAGTTTCTTGCGGTTTCAATACGAAATTTTATTCACGTTAAGTTAAACGCACAACTTTCAAGCTGTATTCGCTGAAATCCTTACTCGGCGCATATCTCGCATATTTATTGAGAATTCTCTTTTTATTTTCCTAACTATCTTCTCAATCCAAAGGTAACAACTATTACTCTCAGCAATCGATATGTTGAAAAGAGTTTATTGCGCCACGTAAAGCATGAAATTTAAAGCGCTGATGAGGATAAATTCAACTGATTTATTCTTCTTTTCGTATTTATGTAAGTTTGGTTTTATACTTAAAGTTTAGAATACGGGTTTTGATTACATGACTTACATTTTCAATTTATACCCTTAAAGAAAGAATCAAATATACATAATACAGCTTTTCCAGTTTTCTATTCCAACAAATTAGATGGAAGAGTTTATCCATTTCTAAATGGGTCTGGTCATTGACTTGGGCGTCCAAGTCATTAATATCATGGATTAGAAAATATCTTGGAACTTGCGGTTGCATGAAAAAAGATGAAAATTTCTTATAAATGTTTTTGAAGTAACATAAATTATCTGATTTCAAGTTCTAATTCCTGATCAATATGTCTCTTCTGCAAAAAGAGCGTTTTAATTAAAACTTGGTAGAAATATAATATATACACATTATTATTTTCTAGAAATTCAGATAAATGTTTCACACAAAATTCTTTCCACAGAAGGACTAAATTGAATTAAATTTATAATCTTTTAATTATATTCGTTACGCAGATTTTTCTGAAGGTATCCATTTATTATACATTCATATTATATTTATTGTTACTTTGAAAAATGCGATGAAAATGGAATAATTTTTAAGTGTGCATAACTCTGGATAAGCAGTTTCTGAATGTAGAATATTTATATATGTTTATAAATAAATACATCTTAACCGTTTTATTTAAATCATTTGTATGGATATTATCAGGCATTTTCTCCCGCCTTTATAGCATGCCTTCGTGATGAAGCAGTAACACACTCGGTGCGTATTCGAGAGGTCCAGGCTCGAATCCGGACGAGGGAATTGCTCATTTTTCATGTCCGCTGCTTCAAAATAACCTATTAACTCTACATGTAATTCAAAATTTTGGTAAACTGCTATATACATCTGTAGTTTTAATTAATTTTACTTTTATAATTTATTCGAGTTTCAAGAATTACTTGAGAACTTTTTTAAGAAATAACCGAACAAAGCTTGTAGAGACATTAGGATATTTAGAAGCAGAAGAGATGAAAAATAAGCAATGCCACTCGAATCACGGATCTCTCGAAATACGCGTCAAGCGTGCTACCACTACACCCCGAAGGCATGCTAAGAAGGCGGGAGAAATACCTTATAAGCTAACGAAATTAATTAAAACGTTTATTAAACGTAAATTATGAAACACAAATAGTCCATTTAAGCAATATTTTCCAAAGCAAAATTTAGACATCAAGGTTAACTTCATTAATATTCATTTCAAACATTAACTTCGACTTTGAGTTATAAAAGCTGCGAAATCGCACAGCACGGATATTTCATGAAGTGAAATATTTAAATAACATCAGCTTCAAAATATCCATATTCCAAACTTAGAAATATGGATGAAAATAACCATTCTTAAACGTCTTTGTTTATTATTACGTCACTGCTTTAAACTAAATCAAAGATTCCTTTGCCAATTCTGAAAAGGATTTAGAGTAGATTTTTTTGTACAGATTGTGAAATGAGTTACGCAACAAACTTTTATTTTGTGGCGCAGACACGTTAAATCTAAGAAGGGGAGGGTGCACCTGGAATTTAGCCAATCAAAGAACACTTAGACGATCTCAATAGCAACAAAACTTTTCGAAAGCGTCGCACTTATTTTTGAGATTTGTCAAGGCTTGAAGAGAAAAGAATTTTAAAACACATATTAAGTTTTGAATTTAAATGGAATAAAAATTTCACTAAATTTTAAGGATCTAACATGTTCCTAGCTTTGATTTCTTTACTGAAAATTTTTCAGCTAAAAAGATCAACTCATTTTAAAAGTTTACATTTAAATCAGTAATTAGAGGGATGCATGACAATTACGCAAGTGATATATATATTGAATGATATCAGAAATTAGCAATGTGAAGCAGATATTTTCACCGTAATTTATTATGCCTATGTTTAAAATGATTATTGTATTGATGTTTATGTAAAACCCATAATGTATTTCTAACGTAATGGAATGAAGATCCAGAAATTTTAAATTCGCGTTTCTTCGTTTCTCGCTAAACCTCGCATTATTTTCGGGATAGATTTGGGTTTTACGCATTGAATTTATGCATTGAAGTGGAGTTTTCTATTCATGCCATAATCATGCAGACAGAAATATTCGATGTTAACTTTTGGAATAATAATTAAGAAGTAGAACATTTTAGCGAACTTTATTCCTATATGCAGCTGCAATCCAATTCAGCCAATTACAGTGGTTGATTTACGAATCATACCATTATCTACGACATAGATCAGATTTAACTTAAGGAAATGAAGTATTTTATGAAAATAATTTCAGTATAGGAGTGGGAGAGATTTTATAAATACAACATCTAAATTTTTATATTGACCCAATTTATAAATATCCAGCTAGCAATATATTTACTAGATTTTAGTAAATTACATGAATTTTATTTCACACCTTTATATGCAAAATTTAAGAATATTTTGAAGAATGAATTTATTGATTTAAATTCCTTTTTCAACTTCTACCACTAAGCTAATCTAATTGCTCCATCAAATTTACAGTAATGAATTGCTTCCTCAAATTTATGGTAAAACTACAGAAGAAACATCGCTTTCTTTGAAGATTAATTTTCTGGGTTGGCTAAAAAATACTCGATGTTAATTTCGTAACCGGTCTCCCATGAAACTATTAATGAATAACATATTTGTGAGTTTACATTTAAAAGTACGGAACCTCCTCGGTTCAACTTATTAAAACGTAATTAACATTTCACTAATTTTCTCTCCCCTCTAAACCTCACCAGGGAAATGAGTAATTAAGACCGCAGAATTTTAGTAGTTCGATCCTGGTTCGAACCTAGGCTGGTTACATGGATGCCTGTCGTGGTTTTTCCCATTTTAACGTGGATACCAGCCATCTGCCTT